CAGTTTGAACCACATGGTCAATAGTTCAAGCTCACCAGGTGCTCCTTGGAAACCCTATACAGGGTCACTATGGGTCAGAACTAACTTGATAGCAATTAACAACAAACTATATGTATTCTTATTTTTCATTAACATCTTGGCATATTTCCAAGTCTCTGGGCAGTGGATTGGCAATTGACGCTGACTCTGCTCACCCCTTTGTCTCACCCTAGAATTACAAGAACTGAATTCCTATAATGTTTTCTAAAAGGTTCTAAGACTCTTGGTTACTCTGATACATCCTCCTATTCTTCTGGGAGGGCAGGAGGAGGCCCATGGGCTGTATCCTCACACTGATGGTTTTAGATTCACCCAATTAGGGAAGACACTAAGATACAGAGAAGATTAGTCTCTCTAGTCAACTTGTTCCTTAATGTGGTCAGGGGTCCTAGTAAAATTTTCAAAATGGTGATCTTTCATTACAATATCCATATCTTGCCATGAGGATGTTCTTTCTCCAACCTCCCTTCTCTTCCATATCTTCCTGATTTTTCCTTCCACTCTTTCACCTGCACCACCCACTGCTCTAAAAGAGGGCTCATGCCAGAATCTCTGCTCATGTCCTGGTAGTAGTAATAGCCCAAACCAAATTAATTGCCGTTACGCAAGTTGACTAGATTCACAGTGACCTCATGTGTGTCGAGTAGAACGATGATCCATCAGATTTGCAATAGTTGCGTCTTCAGAATCATATTGCCAGACCTGTCTCCTGAGGTAACTGCATGGACCCAAATCTCAAGTTTTTCACTTAGCATCTCTTTTAATAGCATTGTTTCTGTTGTTGTTAAGTGTGATTGAGTCTATCCCGACTCATAGTGACCCTATATAGGGTTTCTGTGGAGCAGCTTTGGGATTGAACTACCAATCTTATTGTTAGCAGTCAAGTAGTAGTAGTAGTATAAATAATAAATATGAGCAAAGAGTTTGCATCTGTGCCATGAACTTTATCATTTTCATCCTGGACAATAGGCACTCTATTATCATTCCTCTTACATGGAAGAGAAACTAAAGCTCATAGAGGATCAAAGATTTTACTCCTGACTAGGCACAAAATAAGGAGCTCTGGTAGCGTAGTGGTTACGAATCGGGCTGCGAACCTTAAGGTCAGCGGTTCGAAACTACCAGCTGCTCCGCGGGAGAAAGA